GGGGGAAGTGGCATAAAGCCTGTTTTCGAAAGGCCAGACTGGAAACAACAGCTGTGGTGTAGGAAGCTCCTGGCTGCAAATTGCTGGAGGAGTATTTTTGGGATGTATCACCGCAGGTTTGTGCTAGACTCCCTTTTCCCCGGCCGTGCTCTTGGATGCTGCTGGAGGCAGTGTACTGGGGCAGCAGGACCTCTAGTTGGACTTCTTGTGCCCTTGTTGGTGCACCCATCTCCCTGAGTCTGGAGATACGTGTTCCCACAGCCCTCTCCACCCTGGGACTAGCGTGGAGAAGCACTCCTGCCTGTACAATGCTTTTCCCCTCCCTTTTGGTGCAGGAAGGATGTGCGCTCACAGGCAAGGGGACTCGATTTCTACTTCTTTGCCTGTTTCGGTTTTGATGGTGAGACCATTATGACAGCCTACTGCTAAAGCTTCTTGTTTCACAAGGAAACAAAACTGTCATCCCAAGCTGTTCTGGTCATTTAGGAACGAGGGAGGCCCGGGTGAGTTGTATGCATGCTAGAAACCCCCTTGCTATGCCATGGAGGAAAGGAATAAAAACAAGATACTGAAAAACCCCAAGGCGCCCCGTGACACTGATTGAGAAAGGCAGTAAGGGTCAGACATTGTCCTGTGGTGGTTCTGGCCTGAGGGCCTCTGCAGCTCCCAGGAGAAGAAGTAGGAGATGACCCATAGAAGAGCCTTCAGGCCTGTCCTTGTCCCTCTCTGTGCTGGCTGGACTACACGGCTGGGGAAGGCAGGATGCAAGAGAGCGGGAACTTCCAACCTTCAAGCTGCTGGAAACAGATGGGATTTTTTTTTTTCTGCTGGATTTCTGAAGCTGGATGTGTTGAGAGACCCATAATCTCACACTGCTGTTAAAATAACAGTAGCTTCACTGTCCGGAGCAGAGGATGTGAGGAGTCACTAGCGCTAAGTGAAGCCCTTGAGTACGAAGCCCCTGGGTATGAAGCTAAGAAAGCAATTTGTATCAGTAGTACCCCAGCAGGTAACTGGGACACTGATTTTTCGGGTGCTCTGTGGGCGAGGCCTCTTCGATAGATGTAAGTATTGCCTGCTTTTTACATCCTCTTTGAATTTAGGCATTAAACACTTCGTAACAATCGGTCCTTTTAAAGTGTCCCACACGGCTTCATGTTTATCTCTGAAGTGCTGAGTGCCAGGCAGCTGTTGTGTTTGGCATGTCTTTGCCAGGTTTTGTTGTTCATTTTTCAGGTTTTTGGTTAAATACTCGGCCTCATCTGTGGTAAAAAGTGTCTCATGGCTTCTTATGACAGAGATTTCTTGCTCATAAAAACTCTCCAGTGTCCCTGGATGAGTTTCCTGCTGCTCTTCTCCAAGGTGTGTTATTCCCTTACACCTCCAGTCCTCTTTAATCTTGACCTTCATTTTGTTTGCTGTTCTCGAGCAAAGGCTGGCAATCTGCTGACTTAGCAGCTCGGATTCCTGGGAAGACCAGCACGATTATGTTGATTGTGTCTTTGCTGATGCCAGCAAATTTTCTTCCTTTCTGCTTCCCCCTGCCTTGTGGTTTTGCTCAGAGAAGAGAAATAGCCAACTGTAATCCTGAGACAAGCAAGGCACTTTTCCTTCTCTCCCATACAGACGGGGAGACTGGAGCTTGTTCTCCATTGCTCTCTCAGCGGATACGTCTCCCCAGAGCTCCTTCCTTCATCTCTTCCTCTTTCAGGCTCTCCTGAAATACTCAGCCCGTCTCTCAGGGTGAGGCTCAGGGCATTGCAGTGGGTTGAAGCTGTAGACATCAAAGGTCAGCCAGGAAGTAAATGCACTTTCAACTGTTAATCTAGAGGGAACTAGAGGTGGGCTGTTTAATCACAGCATACACCCGTGAGAGGAGCGTTGCCCTTGGCTCCATTCCACGTGCATGTCTTGGGATGAAGCGTGGGTTGTGTCTGTGTTCAGCGTGCCCAGGTGTGTTGCCCTGTCCATTGTTCACTTCCACAGGCATTTGTATTGGAACAAAACACTTGGGATCTCCTGTCAGGGCAAACCTGATGTAATGGGGGCAGGCACAGAGTCACCTTCCTCTTGACTTGGTCCAGACATGCCACACAGAGCTGCAGCCAAAGGCAGGTGGTACCATAGCCAGAGTAATGTCTACCAGAGCAACGCTTAATCTGGTGATGTTACTCTGAGGTGCATCTGTGCCAAATCAGTGCTTTGGTTTGCTTGTCCGAGGCATTTTTGAACCGACGCTGGAAGCAAGAGGGACCTCGTGATGGAAACTTTCTTGCTTTTACATTTCCCAGCATCGTAGCTCTGGCTTTTTTCAAGTATGGTTGCAATGGCTTGTTCTTCCCCCTTGGAAGATTAAGGGTTGGATTAAAGGCACTGAAGGACAACTCCTGTGTGTCGGTCCCCTAATACCAAAGACCCACTGTTTAAATTGTTTGAAAGCTGCTGACCTCTCTCTGGTTTGAAATTCTTGAGGAGCTTTCTGTTGTGTTGACAGGCCAGAGGCAGAGGTGGTTTGATGAGTGAGGAAGGTGATGTCCAAGATGGGGACAGTAGCCTTTTGGGTAGCAAATAGAAACATACGGTGTTGTGTGCATGTTTCCTTAGGTCAAAGATTTCCTGTCTTTGGAAATTTTGTCATCCTTATTCGGGAATGGCTGAGTTTTGTCCCTGCCCAAGCACAGTCAACTCCTACGCTGTCAAGGTTTTTCAGAAACTTGGAAAAAATCCTACTCTGCTCCCCTGTGACATCAATATACCAATGCTTTCAGAAGTCCGACCTCTGGACTGACATGTTGCTCTTGAAAAACCCTCCATAAACCTCTCGTTCTTGCCTTTTGACTTTCTTATTTTTCAGCTCTAGTTTGAAACTCTTATTTGGATTATGAATCTTCTCCCCTTCCCATTTGACACTGTTGATTTGTCACTAATTAATTGCATGTTAGTTAAAAAAGTGGAATGACTCATTTCTGCCAGTGCAGAATTTGGGGCTGTTGTGTTAATGTTATATTTAACACCCTCTTGCTGTGATAAAAGATGGTTTCTGCATTTGTAGGACAAGATCCTTGCTGGGGTTGCAGCTTTTAAAGTTAGTTGAGATGTTCCAGTTTTTAAATCACTGAGGATAAGGCCTGTGGTGCCTTAAATATTTAAACCCCTTGGTCATCTAGAGATGAACTGTTTTCCAACTCCTTTTGTGTGCAGGCCGGTGATGTTTAGCAGGAGTTTGATGCCTGTATGGCAAACGTGAAACCCTCTGGCAAAAGATTTACTTATCTTAGGCTATTTTTTTCTTGGACTCCTCCCAGTTCCCAGGATGTGCAAACCAGAAGCTGAAAGCCCTTGCTGTAGATGCTTTTGATGTACCTGTTTGACATCTGTAAAATACACTGGTGCACATAAATCCTTTGCTGGGTCACAGTGGCATAGCTCCATGGGGTTCAGTCAAGCCAGGCTGACTTTTGTTGGCTGGGATAATGGTCCACAGATAAACACGTAGGGCAAATCTTCCTGATCTTTCAAACTGGGTATCGAAGTGGGCACCAGGGATGCTCCAGGGCTCTTGCTAAAGCGGGAGATGCTCTGCTGTGCCATAGAGGAGGCCTGGCAGGAGCTTCTTGGGGTGGTTGGCTTCCTCCCACGGCCAGGCTGCGGGTTGTGCAGCCTTGCTGCTGGCTGTACTGAGCCATGCAGAGATTGGTGCTGTGCATCAGGCTGCCCGAGAGTGTGAGTGCCGGCGGGGCACCTCTGGATTTGCACACCCGGATACCTCCAGGAAAGATTGCTGCACACACTTCAGTGCCTGTGTGGGTAACTACGCGGGAGGGATTGTTCTTTGTAACCTCTCATCTATGGGGGAGCTGGGAAAGGGGATACTGAGATGCGCCTCCTTTGGCCTCACAGGAAAGCTCTATATTTAGTTGCTGGTAATCTCCATTAGGGCTCTGTGCCTCTAATCCCCTGCTCTGATACCCTCCCTGGAGAAGATGAGATGTGGAGAAATCAGCCCAGCTGACATGGTGGGCCAGCAGGATTATGGCACATCTCCCCTCCCTTTCCCTTAGGATTGCCATCAAAATTCTTTGCTGGCCCGCAGTTCCACAGCTGTGCTGTGTGTGCATAGGAAACCCCTGGTCAGGGAGTGTTGCCTGGCTGCAAGGGATTAGGGCATGTCATCAGGGGACTGCTTTTGCCATAGGGAGGGACTCACCTGGTGTAGGTGAAGATGAGGTACTGCTGCAGGAGCAGGGCTGGGGGAAGTAAAAATACTACTTGCATTCAAAACAGGAAAAAAAGGAGGCTGTTTACCTCTGGCTGAGTGATTTATATATGGTGGGGTTTTTTTCCCTCTTAGAAAACAGCAGATCAGAGGCACTTTGTTTTTATAATCAAGTCCGTGCTTTCTGGTGCAAAGGAGTGAGAGTTCTTTACAGAACAAAACCTCACCAGTTTCTGAAAATTGAGGATTTCTGATCATGTGTATCCTGAGTTCCTCTTCTTAGTCTTAGCTGGGCTGTTTTGTGGCCTTGGGATGGGGGGAGCTGCAAAATGCTGCATTTTGTTAAGCCAGAGCACGTCTCTGATAATCCCTGCTCTCAGGATGCACAAAGCTGCAGTGCCATCCCTTGTCCCTCAGGCAGGAGCAGTCTAGTGCAAAGGCTCCTTTTTCAGGTTTGGAAAGGCTGGGGAGGTGAAGAAGCTCCTAAACACAGGGGTACTGCCTCCCTGACTCTCGTGTTCACCATTTATTTATTTTGCCTTTGCCAGAGAATTCCAGAGCAGCGACTTGAATATTTTCCCCCTTTGGTCCTTGCCCTGTGGTCCCTGTTTGTTTATGAGGATATTGATGGTGTTTAAAGGACTAGGCTGGCAGAAGGAAAGCTGCTTATCCCCCTTATTGCTCAGGTCCTCCGCTGCCCTCTGAAGCAGTACCCTTTCCAAAGGCTGTGTCCTGACCATGGACAACACTGGGCTGGGAGAGAGCTGCAGCTCCCTGTCTGAGGATGGGGATTTGTGCTCCCTTCTGGGGCCTTTTTGGATGGGCTTGTGGCTTTTTCTGAATGTTCCGTTTCTGGAGCCAAAATAGGTCCTTTCCTCCAGATCAGGTGATGCCAGCAGAGACGGCAAGCCTGGGCTATGTTGAACTGTCAAGCTTAGCAAGTTCCCCCGTCCCCTGGGCTGCCTCTCCTGTAACCCCCAGGGTCAGAGGGGTGCCCTGAGCCCCTGCACCCAGCTGCCTGGTGTTACTCCAGGCCAGCTCCTCTGATTGACTCTTTCTCTCTTTTCTTTGGGCAGGAAAAAGCTGACACTGCTGAGGGAGATGCTGGCGGGCTGTGGCGCGGGTACCTGCCAGGTGATTGTCACCACTCCCATGGAGATGCTCAAAATCCAGCTGCAGGATGCGGGGCGAATTGGTACGTGGGCTTCTCTTCCCTGTGTACTGAGCAGTGGGGGAAAGGGCTGGGACTGGGCTGTCAGGGCAGAGTGCAGGGGAATGAGCAAAGAAAACCCTTTTCCTTCCACCTGCTCTCCCAAGTCAGAGCTATCTCGGGCTGTAGCAGGAGTTTCTCCTCCTTTTCCCAGGTGAGTTCTCCTCACCCTTTGCTCACCCGGCTTTGCAGCCACCCTTGCAGTTACAAAAGGTGATGGGGTTTTTTCTCAAAGCAGTATGTTTGGCAAGTGAAACAGCAGATGCTGTTGCTGGATGGAGGGAGATGGGAGAGATGACTGGGTGGTCAGCTTGTGACAGATTAAAACTTGTTAGTTACTCTGCACCCAAGAAGGGATTAGCATCCTCCAGTGCTTTTCCTCTGGTGCTTCCTCCATCTCTGTGTTATCTGACGTCTATTCTCTTCTACTCCCGTAGCACGTCCCTAACAGCTTCCCAAGGGGATGTGTCCTTTCCAAATGACTTGGTTTCCCTCTTACTCTCTCTTTTTTTACCTCCTAACAAAAGCAGCAGTTGTCTCAGCTGAAACAGTAAATACAATTATCCTGGCACACTGGATTTGGAAGCGGGTTGGGGTCAGGCTCTTGGGGCCGTGAGCAGGAGCTGGCAGGTAGAGGCAGAAGGCAGTGCAAACCTTTTGGCTACAGCGTTGTGGGGCATTTCTGGTGAGAATGGACATTCTGGCATGGAGGCTTTGCAGGGAAGAGCTGTTTGCTATCTCCTTAATCTCTTCCAGTAGGCAGACCAGGGTATGGCCTTGTCCCCCAGGAGCCCTGCATGACAGTTACATACCACATCTGTGGCCCTTCCCAGAAAATGTGTCCTTTAATAGCTCCTTTGATGTGGCATTCCGGAATAATCACGGATTTACTTTTTCTTTCCTCTCTTGGCTGTTTTTAATGCAGACCTTATCCTCTTTGTGTGTATTATTTTAAAATGTTTGATGGAATTAAGCCATGGTTTGAGGTTTCAGCAGAGGTTTTTGCTGCTGCGAACCGCCTGCTCTCTGTGTGGCAAGAGACCTGTGGTGTGCCGGTGGCAGCCAGAGGATTGCCTGCAGGTTGATGTGCTCTCCATCTTCTGGCCAAAGAGTAGAAATTCATCTGTTTGAGAAGGTTGGGAGGAAACAGGTTGCATTTATAAATGTGGCTGAGGAGTGCCCCCAGGTTAGTGATTGTTTTCAAGGGAAGGAAGCAAAGAACAGACCTGTTAAACCTCTCACTTAGGAATATCTTCAGTTTGTCCTAACAGGGGCTCCGGGACATGGCTGGGAGCAGGTACTGTCATCTGCCTGCTCACAGCAGCTCCTTCTCTTGTCTTTGACAGGACAAGGGTTTAAATTGAAAGAGGGGAGATTGAGATTGGATATCAGAAAAAAATTGTTCTTGGAAAGGGTGGGGAGGCACTGGGACAG